TATCCAGCGAGCGACTTGACCTCGTTTTGACATGCCTGTATTCTTTCTGGAATATTTCTGACTGGTCAACTTGGAAACTAAATCTAAAGCCACCAATGTGTAGCCAACCCGTGTCCTGTCATAAGGATATCAGGTATTTTGGAGTTGAATTGAGTTGACATGAATCCACCAGCTGCCTGCGTAACACTGTGCAACGTGTGCGCCTGTGCTGCGTCAAAGTCAGGCTCTGTGTGCTCTTATGCGTAACGGTGTTTACAGGACTTTTTGTCACCAACGGAGAGACACATTGTCAAAACCTGTCAAAACTGGATGCATTTCTTCAACAGAACTTCACAACTCACGGGAGTGGATGATTATGGCCGAAAGAGTGCTGATAAGTTTTGGATCTGAGAATACCGGAAACCTTTAGTTGTCCGCTGCTACAGTCAGAGCAGGTGTGCAGAGCGTACCGTAAGAGTGAGAATGGGGGGCCGAGGGAACGGTGGCATGGGAGGACCGAGGCGGTTTCGAAGAAGAAGGAGGGAAGGTGGAGGGGTCGACTGGGTGGGGGCTTGTGTATTGTTATACTGTGGGGAGGACTTTGGATGGGGGGGTAACGTACCATTAGAAGAGGGTATAAGCCACAATGAGCCATCAATGTGTCTCATTAGAGCCTCATTGATGACTGTATGTTGAAGCACTGAGGAGTTACAGTCATTTGAAATTTGTATATCAGGTGTTGTCCAAATGTGCCATTTGGAGACTCCAAATGGCACACCTGGACAACACCTGTACATTCTCAAAAATAAACATGTCCAAAATGACATTTCTTTTTTGTACTATTTTGATCATTATTGAAATCCACGAGCAGAATACTTTATTCTACATATTTTATGTATTTTCCAGTATACAAAATTATTTATTTCTTGCAAATAAAAATTTTATTTTATTTTTTATTTTTATTTTTATTTTATTTTATTTACAAGAAATCAAATAAAAAATCTGAGTGAAGTAAAATTTTCAAAAAATTTTTTGTGTTACAAACATAATAGCTACAACAGTTACAGTATTTTGACTGCAAAAATAGAAAATTTAGCTTGTCTTCTTCATAAAGAGACCAAGCTTTTCCATTTACTCCAAACTGTTAAA